TTATGTCTCCATCCAGTCCGTGGACAAGCGCAATAATGCCAGGGCTCTGAGAGCTGGGCTAGCTAATGCATCCTAAAGCTCTTGGCTTATGAAAAGCACTGGACGGATGTTTAAGACTATGTTCCCACTAAGGAAGGATTATGTGGAGACTTGGCCTCAAGATCTATACCTAAGATGCTCTCTAGAGCCTCTGAATATGAAGTGTGGGTGTGAGGAACAGGAAGACAGGAAGAAGGAAGACTGGGAAGAGATGTCTTTAGGGAATCTATGAGTTATGGAGCTGGGAAATGGGTAGTTAAGGGAAAGGGGGAGAGGAAGGGTTAAGTACAACCACTTGTGAACATTCTTAGCCTGGGGAGGGCTAAGAAAAAGGTGGTGAGTACCAGCCACTCACCTTTTACACTCAGAGGGCCCAAGTCTCAGACAGGCCCAAAGTAGGGTCTTGTCTGTTTTCACTCCACAGGTAACTTGGCTCTAGCTTGTGATAAATTGGCCAGGGAAGCTAAGGAGCAAGGAAACAGAGTGCCTTCGGAAGAGGGTCAGCTTTGGTCTCATTTGATTTAAACCTTCCTAGAACATCAGGGAAGGGGTATAAACACTGAAGTGATGAAACTGGCTGAGGAGCCAAAACTGGGTGGAGCCCTCATCACCAGGGAGGGCAGAGGAACAACACCAAGGAGGGGGAAAGAAATTAGAAACACGGACAGGAAATCACAGCCAGGGCCCCGCTTCAGCAAATAAGAGTAACAGGCCCTGAAGGGTAGGAGCAAAGAGCCCTTGTGGACCCGGAGAGCCCATATAAGGCTCCTGACTCAGAGAGTCAGAGGCTGGACCTGGGCGTGAGGGGTGGGGGGAATGGACAGTCATCTGTGAGAGTGGGTCTAAGCAGATACTAGAGCAAAGACCCCAGCACATTGAGGGCTGCCTCCACCGGGTCATTAGCCTCTGCAAGAAGTTCAGGGGAGGACCAAGAAGGCTAACTATGGACAACTGGGCTACTGACCCTGCTACACCAAGAAGAGGTAGGTAGACAGTCATGGGAAGATGGGGGGAGGGAGGGGAGAGGTGTGTAAGGACAGAGGGCTGAAAGGGCTAATTTATCTGGATGAGTTTAAAAAGATTAGCTTTAGTCCATCCATCCATCCCTTTGTTTCCTTCCCTCTTCCCCTATCATGCATAGAAAGTCAAGTCAATAAGCATTTAAGTGCCTGCTATGTGCCAGGCACTGTGCTAAATGCTAGCTAGGGATACAAAGAAAGTCCCAAAAAGGATCCCACTGTCTAATGGGAGAGACATCATGCAGACAACTATGTGTTAATAAGAAATGTACAGGATAAATTAAGAGATAGTCTCAGAAGGAAGGCACAGGAGAACTGGGAAAGGCTTCTTGCCAAAGATGGAAACTTGGAGCATCCATGAATTGATGTCATGAAAAACTTCCTAACCATTGGGCCAGAGGGCCTCTGAGCTCCCTTACAGCTCTGAGATTCTGCAATGTTGTGATTAGGTGAAGACCCAAGTACTGGGGGCATTGGTCTCTCCTAGGGTATAACTTACACACACACACACACACACACACACACACACACACACACACACACACA